CTCTGTGAAGCCCGAAGTCAACTAAAGGGCTAATGATAAACATCAAAACGCTTGCCATTTGATATAAATAAATAAATATATGTTTAAATTGTTCTTGCGAAGATGCTTTTAACGTTTTCAATAGTTCCACTCCACTATCTTCTAAAAGATCTTGAATTGCTTTTTAAGTGGGATGAAATAAATACTGACATACATATGTGCGGATTTTTATTGATTCCCTAAAACAGTTTCATGAAATAGAATTTTCCTTTTGACCTTCCTGTGCGGATTTTCGGAAAACCCGGAGCTTGGTTATATGCATATGCTTATTTCATAGATTCAACGAACTTTTGGCTTCATCTTGAAACGATAAAAGTTTTTATTGGTGTCTATAAAGAGAGGAAAACATAAATCTAATTTGGAGCACACATAAAGTGTTAATTAGAACTTTATTTTTCCTGTAATTTTATATTCATTTTGACGAAATTTAATAAAGTCACGATAGAGGAAACTCATTAGGCTCTATGCCCCTGCAGATTTGCTGCATATCTTATCAATTATGATAAAAATAATAATTGATGAAAACATTAGTGCACAATTAGAAAGAAAAGCAAGTACACACATGTGATGCATTTTAAAAAACATACACACACACATAGTTGGCTCAATTAATGAGGTGAACTTCATTTTGCAGTGCATTAAGGAGAAAACAAAACGGAGAGTAATTCGAAAATTCTCACATTTAAACAAAACCACAAAGTCAATAATTTTAAGAGTTACAATCATTATGCTTGAATTGTTAGGAAAGGAGTTTATCATCAAATTAAGAAAGCGTGTTTTCGCCGATTCACCTTTGTTAGCGTATTGGTGCTCAATTTCAACTTATATAAGACAAGAATTGTCCAGCTCCACATATCAGTTTCAACTCATATCTTCCCAAATTATATTTGATGAACAAAAACAACAACCCAAATTCTTTCGAAGTAATAGGATTTCTGCCTCCTATGAACCAAGTTTCATCACCCTTTTGTCAAATCACAAATATTCATTAGTGAATTCGAACAGTATTAGCAAATGAAATACGTGGAGTGTATATTTCTGGCAAGCGCAATACTTTTATTACCTCACTGCAATAATATTCAAAGTAATCAAATGGAATCAAAATAAGAAAATTAGTTTATATTACACTAATAATAAAAAATATATCCTATTAAAACGTGAGCCACCTTGCTGGCGCATATGCCAATCTCATTGCTTCATTAAGTCTAGACTTAAGAGCACATGGTAGTGGGTGCCTCATCCGATATGACAAGTGAAGATCAAATGAGATTAAATCAATTGCTACTTAGGTTCAAGTTCATTTATAAGTACACTCCTTAGTCTTCTCCTTAGACTACCCATTTACTCAAATTTAAAATAATTGATTAGTTTGATGGTATGTGCTAGCATAAACATTGACGCAAGATAAGGGATTGAAATTTCTCAAGGACTCCATTTTAAAAGACATTGAAGATGTTACCGAATGATCGAAGGAACGAAATTGTTAATACCGCAAAACACTACCTTAAGGCCACCAAATTGCCAACTCCAACGTTTTCAAAGGTAGAAGACTAGGTGATTGTATGAATACATCTCATTAGGTACAGTAGGGAAAAAGTCCATCAGTGGGTGGTCTGTCTGAGATCAATTTGTGTCCAAAATTTAAAACAGAGTCGAAAAATCAGGGTAAAAATCCTTACTTCATTTGACTGAATGTCATGCATTGATGAAATACATTTACCATTACCATCATCTATAATAGAACAAGGCGTTCTGCAAATTTCAATCAGAAGAAGACATTATGAATACGCAGAAATGGAGACTGATCTGCAGACAAGAAGGAATGGAACACTAAGAGAAACAGTCAGAAAATCAGTAGAATCCCCGTTTCATTGAGATCTTAGAAACTTTGTGGCGTCTGAGATATTCCAAAATCGATATACTTTTAAAGCAAATAAAACTCGATGAGACCAGAAAATCTAATAAGCTTATGATGAATAAATTCAAAATGAAGCCCGATTCATGGGCCAAACCAAAAAAACTTATTTGCACTCAGTGACTTCCACTAATGACTTTGCGTCCTACCAACTGTTGTCCGTCGTATATCGCAATTGCTAGAAAGATAATCATAGCGCGCAATTTAAACTAGAAATTGGTAGGTGATTCATTCAAGGTTACATAGAGGAACCGACTGAAAATTTTAATCGTTAATGAAATATTATTATTCATAGCCAAGGCCACCTATTATCCATTAAAAACCATGAGTCTACTTAATTTGAAATTGAGTAGCTTGATTAAGTCAAATTGAACCACCATTTCAATTGAATACAAGAGCCAGCTATGTTAAAGGGGGAACTCCTCCCTCCCCCTAAACTCAGAATTATTGATTTTGGACCTAAGAAATTTATCACACACCTGATCCTTCAAATCCAGGTTGATTTCTGGTCGAGAGATCAAGAGTTTAACCATCTCAAGGTTGCCACAATCGATAGCGCACATGAGAGCTGTGTTTCCAATGTCATCCTGAGCGTTGACATCAACTCCATGTCGAAGAAGTAACTCGACCACAGTTGTGTTGGCTTTCCTTGCAGCTAGCATCAACGGTGTTTGACCAGGAGCAGTCCCGGCACGAGCATTTACGTCACCAGATGCGAAGAGTCGTTCCAATACAGGTACAGCTGAGGCATCTATGGACTATCCAGAAAAAGTAATGAAAGAAGAATGGAAGCAATTAACATTTGGAATGTAGAGGGTAATTCAAATGCATTAACACATAAACACGGCAACACTCCATGCAGGAAATGCAATGATAAGCACCATGCCTCAGCAGCACATGTTTGTAAGTGATAATAGCTAATTCAGAAACTTCTGCATCGGAAATAAAGATCCGATAGTGCAATGAGCTACTGAATCCACCACCGTCGGATATCTACGGAATGCTTGCTTTGGCTTGAGATGGGCTTGTGAGTCGTAATTTCAATATATTTAAGGACTCTCAAAAATAAATTTAATTAAAAACTTCCTACCACACATTTTTTGTACAGGTGACATTATTGATTCCCCCATCCCACCCAATTGGGAAAATCGATTTCCACCACACCCTTTTTATTATTTAGAGGTTGTATGAATGCCGAAACTGTGATCACTCAATCTGCAGACGATTAACGAAATCACTATTCTATCGGAGCACACAGAAAAAAATTGATAAAGAATTATGGAAGTAAAGCCAATCAACAATAGAATATTAAGCAATAACATGAATAAATTAACACAGTAAATGATCTTTTTTTAATCACCAGATCCAATGTTCTTCAATAAAGGGGGTTAATTCAGTGGGAATTTTTTTGTGATGCATCGAGTAACTAGGTTTAATAAGATCTAGACCAAAAGTGGTCTTACCTTTTAGACAAACTTTGTTAGCAAATTTAAATGAGATAATGGAATTTTGTTGACATTTCAACCAAAGTAACACCTAAAATACTTACATGGTTGGGTTCTTGTGAATCCTGGATCTTGGGTCCCTACATCTACGAAGGTGGTCATGAGACTATCCGTCTTACACTTCAATTCATCAAGTGAAATTACTACCTCATATGAGCATAATATCGTACTTCACCTATTTTTACCATTAAAGCCTCTTAGCTACATTTCTAATTGTATCTAGCTTACTTATACGTATTTAATTTAATCATGCTTAGCCATATCGAGTCAAATAGTCTTACCCTCAAAGCCTACTTAAATAAAACATGAGTAGTGCGACTTGGGCTAGAACTTTGTAGAATTTTGGCATTAAATTCATTCTGACAACATGTTCATCGGCGGAATATTGTAATTAACCAATAAACCAATCCAAAATGTTCAAATAAATCCACTCGAGTTGAGAATTATGAGCCCATCAACAATTCTAGTACACACAGTGATTGAAAGGAAAGTTGAGCGATGAGTATACAAATATTAGTTAATTCTTAATGAGTAATTTCTCAATGATTCATTTACAGTGATGCTAGCCGTTAGATTCAATCACATAAATACTGTGATTTAGTAGTAATAACGTGCAGGTGGGGTAAGATAAAGTCAATCAACAAATAGTTAGAGAAGAAAAAATAGAGACGACAACATGCAAGAACGATGACAAAGATATGAGTGAATACAACAATAAGTCCAACATTTCTTCAAGTAAACTTACCCGACAAGCGAGCTATTTGTAATAAAGGAGGTGAAATGGTTATGCTTTAAGTAACAAAAGCATTAGAGGATGAGGAGAATATATAAATTTATTGCATTGATTTAATAAAACTTTCCCAAAATTAGAATAATTTCTCCAAATAATCAATTCCCTAAAGACTCTATTTTGTGAGTCATTTTGACTCCTTCTGCTATTGGTCCGACATTTGAGGCTCGCCCCCCCCCCCCCTAATGCTAAGACTTAATCACGATGACTTTAACTAACACCCGCACCGTATGCTCGTCAGTGTCTATCGCAGAAACAGTTGGGGCCAACCAGATCGCCTAAGCTTACAAATGCAGATACCAACTGTAGCACGGTTATATCGAAACAGACTAAACAAAATCTGCACCTCGTGGTTTCATCTATCTCTCTCTCTCATTCCCTACCTCCATCTCCATCTAACCTTTGTTGTCACTCAAATCCACTTCTCTAGAAAGCGAAGATAGCAAGAGAAACCGTTTTCTACATACTGTCTGTCACTCTAGTGATGGCAAGTGATAGAAACCAATAGAAAGAGAGAGGAAAAAGAAATGTTCTTCATCCCCTTAGGGCCCTGAGGGTTTAATTAGGCTGTTAATATGGAATTGATTGAGTGGTTAGGAGAGAGGAATTCAGAAGGAATGGCAAACACTCGATAGCATACTGTTTAATAAGCTTACATCGCTTATGGCGGCAATCATGATGGGGGAGAAACCGAAGGCATTCTTCTTATTGGCGTCAGCGTAACCGGTATTCAGGATTAGTGACACTACCCTCCAAGCTCCATGACCCACGGCATAATGAAGACATGTTGAACCCTGAAATTGAGAAAATTGTAAGCAAATTAAATGTTCTAGCATGACTTCCAGTTAAGTTAAACGGACTCTATGTTAAGATCTCCATATCGCAAAACCCGAACACATCAATCGAGTGATTCTAACTACGATTTGAACTTTCCCCTTAAGGAAGTGAATTGCCCTCCTTTTAAGGAGGTGAACAATGCGAACTCGATTCAATACAATTCAAATTACTTTGACTCATGAACCACTGATATTTTCTCTACTTCGACTCTACCCCTTTGCATGACTTGTATTCAAATGCCCTAACTTTGAATTCCTGAAATTTCTTAAACTGTGCCATAAGCAATAATTATGGCAGTATATCTTCACGTCTCAATCTAAGAGTCCGAATCTCCACAACAGCGAATTGGAGGGGAAGCGTCGAGGTGTAGAGCTGTAAAAAGAGCTCGAATGCTTTTGAAATATCGGAGGGTTCCAATTATCCCCCCCCCCCTCCACGGCCCTCATAAGATAGTCAGTGGTTTCAAGTCCTAAATTAAACGGTTTATTTTAAGCCATTTGGCAAATGAAAAAATAGGTCATATATATTAGAATTTCATTCAAGGTGTTGATATTAAAACGGGATGTGAGTGTAGTAATGTGGAAAGGTGCCACAAATGCTTCTGAACCGAGCATTATAAAGTACAAATTTCATATTGTCTCCATCAACTATCCCTATTCTTTTCACGTTTATGCCTTTTTAGACATGTTTTCGCTTCTCCAACTATTATGTTCAAAGTGGTTTAAAGTCAGTGAGCCATTGCGGAAGTGATATCATCCATATCCCAAGACGCTCCACACTGATTTCACATCATGCCCCATTAGGATAACAGGATGCCTCACTTATCCCATTGTCATATATTCAAATTATACGCGCCGAATTCCTACTTGATAATTTCCATTACATCGGTAAGTAGTGCGCTTAATTCTACTATGCCAATTTGTCATGGATCTTCCTGTTGTCCCATTGGTTTGTAGTTTATTAGTCCAATCATGTGCAATGTCCAACCCCCCCCCCCCTACTTCCACTATTTCTATTTATTTAATCATATGTGTGGTCTCTATTCCTATTTACAATTGATTTGGAGGGTGTGCGATAGACTTACCTCCACGTGATGCACCCTAGG